CAAAAGGCCATTTTTTTCTGGTGGTTTCTGACTGAGGCAGAAAACAAAAACACTGAGGACTCATCTTTAATCAAGAAGAGTGGGCCGGTCTGGCCCCCCCAAGAGGCCATCTCGCAGCCAGACGCTCTCCCCGCGCTCACGCCCGCTCCAGCCCCACGTCCGAGGCTCACCATTGTGGCAGCACGTGCACCAGTGACCTCTTGGCGACGTTTAACATGCTGACAAGTCCCCAGGTCGCATTCTCGTCACGCCAGGAACGGTTTCATGCCGCGAGTGAAAGGAGCCGTCCGGCCGATGACGGACCATGTGTTTATCCGGCTGCTACAGAACGATACACCGTTATTGATGGGAGCCGCTCCAGAGTAAACTCGGCTCTCGCGGGGGAACAGAAGAGAAATATGAGTGTCGTTGTTCGTGGGGTCTCTAGGAGGACCGGTGGCGAACGCTTCCGTCTTTTTTTTTACTCTCTCCCTCTTCGCCGATCTCTCTAACATACCCGACCCGTCCGTGGGGTAGAAGCAGCGAACAAACAGAACAAAAACACTCCATATTAAACAGCAATGCTTGGCAGTTACACCGATTTTGCCCTCTGGGTTTTCAACATGTCTGGGGATGCCTCTGTTTACATAACAGATTAAAGACGTCTGTATTATGATTGTTGGAGCAGAGATTGTCGGGGTTAGGCAGCTTGGTTTATTGTCTTTAGTCCTGTGCCGTAGATTAATGTCCTATGTTGTCGCTTTCCCCCACCGAGGTAAGTTAATACTCGCGTTAATTCTGAGTACACGGGTCTTAATCCCATCGTAAATACCTTCTTCAAGAGGAACAGAGTACAGAAGATACAGAAGTGAAAAAGTGGGGAAAGGGGGGGGGGGGTGCTCAATTTAATGAATACCCTTTCTTTAATTCTTCAATATGAATTTTAGTTAAGAAGATTTTTTCATCATCAAGATTGTTAAAGAAATACCAAAGCAACGGTACCACAGGTCCCAGGTACTAGTCGCGTAATGCACAAAGCAAATATCGGTGAAGCACTGAAGTCTGTGGTGTTAAAGCAAAGTGCTGGGTATTAAGGAGATCGCTAAGCAGAAGGAGTAATGTCAACACTAAACGCGTCTTTGCCGGCGCCCGAAGACACTAAAGTGAAAAGCTTAATGCAAAGTTGGTCTTATTCTCTAAACTCATGTCATCCCTTGAGATTAAGTTTGTGGAGACAGTGAGAGATAGAGAAGAGCCGGAGCAGAGGGGCGATGAAACAGTAAAGTTTGCGACAGAGAGTAAGGAAGCTGGCTAAGGGATGGATGTCGATCAAAAGATGATTATAGGTGGGATACATTTTGTTCTAGAGGTATAGCAAAATGGGTATTCTCAATAATATAGGTTTATGAGGTTTTAGAGTTGTGTTCTGAGACTTAAAATGATATGTTTATGACATACATACCTGAAATATCAGGAGGTTTCGTCTGTGCCTCGTAGGTTGATGTGTAATACCCCACTATCGTTTACGGTTTCATCAACGCTCGTGCATTTTGTCACAGTATCCTACGCTGCATGTGAGATAAGTTCCTTTTTAAATATGTCATTAAAGATTAGAATATTATGTAAAATATTTGAGAAGATATCTGGATTAAAAACTATGGGACGAAAGAAAAAGAACTAATAATTTAGAGGCACTTTGTACAGAAAGACTTAGGAAAAAAATGTTGTTTTAATGGTAAATCATGAGGTGCAAAGGGTTACGGCAAAATAGGCTGTCTGCTTAAAAGGGTGGGCGTGATTTTAAGGGGAGGGGAAGTGATACCTGACGACGTGAGCTTCTTTCATAGAATCTAAATTGTAATATCAAGGCACGGCAAACGAAGTTCATTTTACGGCAGAGTCGGTGGATTTATAACAGTGAGCTGAGTTAGACAGTGCTTTTTCAAACAAAAAGTCACTCTGTCCCTAATCATTCTTTGATTGGGAACTGAAAGCAAAATACACTATAGTTCATGGGTGGGTACACAAATGACAAACGAGTGCAATAAAACTTAAGAAAAATGACAGATGGGCTTAAATGAAAAGGGCATATAATAATGTTATTCAGAGGCTTTGGTTTTATCACAAGATTGAAGTCTTTCGGAATAGCGAGAAATATAATGGAAATTCAGATATCGAGAAAAGACAGATAATATAGGAGGCGGGCTGCCTCAACGATACCTATCAGGGCCAACCCGGTATGAGTGGAATAAACATCCCAGCCAAGAGAAGGAGATACTCATTAAGTTTCCCCATGCAGGAATGAAACGTATTACACTCACATCATCTCATTTTAGACAATCCATACGTCTTGGTTATGGAGTGAACTCCTGGCTTCTTCGACCGAGAAGCCTAAATGTTACACTATTGACGATGATAGAAGAGAGAGAGAGAGAGAGAGAGAGAGAGAGAGAGAGAGAGAGAGAGAGAGAGA